CTGGAGCCAACACATTGCATTAAGATTACTGATGATGGATGCAAAAGTTGTTCTTTATAATTTACTTTAAAAATTATTTGTGTAATGTGGAAAAAAATGGCACTGAACTTAACACTCTCACATGAATTAAACAAATATACATGAAAACTACAAATTCAGTACATTTCAGTGATACAAGAGAGGACTAACCTCCATATACTTAGATAAGCCATTATCTTGAAGCATACAGACAACTTTGAGAATGTCAACAGTGAGAACAGTGAATACTGGTTTAAACATGACTGCACAATACTTGATTATAACTGGCAAGGCCGGACAATTGAAACAGATATAAGTGAAGATAAAAAAACAATTCATTCCAGAAAATGTCAGAAGGAACATACATGTGCACTTCCAAACATGATTGTAAACTTCAAGTGAAATGGGTTGGGTATGATAAAAGGAATTTCAGAGCATGAACAACTGGACTTTTATTCTGGTGGATTCATGCACAATATCAATTGTATTTTAGCCTACTAGATTATATCAAAAAATGTGAAATAACACAACAGAAAATGTTTTACAATAAAATTTCAAGATAACATTAAACTACAAGCAACAGCATTTTTATATCTCAAAAGACTTTATTTCATACAGATATTAGTCCTTCAGCTCTTGCATCCAAGAAAGTGGAACAAATCTTTATCTACCCACACATTATTTCTTAAATTAAATTAATTAAATCCGTGGCATAACAGCTCCAGAGAGCCAAAACCGACTAGCTGGCTGCTGACCTCACGTTCACATGCCTAAGCTGAGGTGAACGATCATCCAACCAGATATAGAGTGACGTGTGGTCAGCACGACGAATCCCCAATCATTGCTAGTTTTCATGACCGGATTACGCTACCCACTGTAGCTCCCCAATTTCCTCACAATGCTGGGTTGGCACTGGTCCCATACACTGGTCGATAGCTCATGAGAAAATTTCTTCTCCCCCGAGACTCGAACCAGTGTGCATTCTGTATCGCCAGTCCGAAGCATGATGCCTCAGACCGCGCGGGACACACATTATTTCTAATAGGATTTATTTTATAAATTAAAAATTATATGATACAAATACCATTACCTTGTGTTTCCAAATAATTTCACCTGTTGACCTACTGACAGAGCAGATAAGCCCTTCTGGTACAATAACTTTGAGCTCAGAGTCATCAGAGAATTGGACTGGGGTTGGACTATTTCCATGACAATTGTCAACACTGTCAGAAACAAAGCTCAGTTCATGCTGACCAACACTAAAATTCCACCTATAAATAACAAAATGCCAGAATTTAATTTCACAGTATCCAGTAATATGCAGGGGATGACATTATTCTCAATGAGACAAGCCTGTAATCTCAGAGCTTCTTCCAGTTTCCATGCTAATATATACTATATGCGACTGTAACTAATTACCACATAACAAATTCTGGGCAGAATTTATTATGACAATTTTTCTTTTCTAAGAAATTTCTTTGAGAATAATATGCTGCTGAATTTCTTCACAACACATAACAGACCTATACT